GTGATGACAGAAAAAGGCTAGCAAAGAAATAAATGGGTACTCGGCGAACATAGAAGATTATGCATTTTCTCCTTTTCAGGCCGGAACTATTGCCAATAGACTGAAATCAAATCACATGTTCATAGCTAGTATGATAAACAGACAAGAACTATTTCCAGCACAGAAAAGTATCACATTCTAGGTGTTCTTCCTTGCAGTGTCACCCAATCAAGGAGAACCAACCATAGTTTATAATCCAGGTAGTACAAAAAAAACACAAAGTAAAGGGCTAACCAAAAATATTTGAATATTATTCGTGCAGCATTTCAGTATGGATAAATCACAGCCCACAGAAAACGTCAAAAAAATAACAAATCAAAGCACCGAGAGAATATGTTACTCTTTCTTGAGTGATAGTAGAATGATACTGTATCTTCTACAACTAAATAGGAGATCCCCACTACAGTATTTCTCTCGCTTCTCATGCTACCACGTCATCAGAAATCCAGCACATGTCTTCATACCTCCTTACCTTCACTACGTGGCCACTATAGAAAGTGGAGGATCTGAGTTGTCGTTCTGTTTCATGCAGCCCTCTGAAGCATACAAATTAATCTCCACCAAGCAAGCATTAATTTGATGCAATATTGCAATGTGTGCCTGTAGGCATATGAAGGATCATAGTGCTGCTCGTGCTCCTCTACATGTATATCGATGATGACCCTGGTGGCCTGATGCTGAAAAAGCTCCACGTCCGAGACCTGGAGTCACGGAGGCATGATCCACATGCCACCCCTGCCGCCCGCCGTGCATACCAGCAAAGAGCAACAGATGCATGGAGCACACCATCATCGTACAGCAGCTGAGCGGCGAGCATGATCAGGTAAGCGGGTTATTTTCAATTTTTTATTGCTTATTGTTTAAAATTTTTGTTCAACGAGCACCCAGCATGAACTTAATTTTTTCATCACACCTTTTGTACTATTTGTTTCATTAGCTAATTATTCACTCACCCTATCTCAATTTTATTTGATCGTCCGCTGCACCGTGTGGGGGCATACAAAGGATCATTGTTTGGCCTTTCTTTTATCTATCAATTTATTTATGGCTTTGTTCTCCACCAGCGGTGACTATACTGATGCTTCATGTCTCATTTTTTCCGGTTAGGAGAGACACTAGAATTTGTTGCCAAGCCCAACAATGAAGTGCATGTTCCTCATTCTCCTGAAAGGATTTTTATTTATTTTCCATGTCACTTGGATTAAGATTGGTTCTTTATGTTTTTCACTTGAATGTCCTGTAAAACACATGCTAGCTTCACATGACGTAAATCATTTCATCAATCTTAGTTTCAAATTTTAATTGTAGCCAAGATGCTTGGGCTGCCCAATCTATCTAATAATTAAAATTTTCTTTTGTTTGCCCAAGCCTATTGATTTCATATGATGCTTCTTATGTACGATAATTTTCTCCTACATATAACACAACAATATCCCGCAGCAACGGGCAGGGTATTATCTTAGTTCATTTAAGTAGATCTAACCAATTGAAAAAGAAAAGAAAATTAAAGCAGGGCTCTGGCTGTACCTTGATCGTCCTCCTCGTCGTTTTCTTCTTCTTCTTCCTCCTGCTCCTCGTCGCTGAACTCCCAGCAGTCGTCGTCGCTGCTGGACATCGACGAGTCCTCCCCGTCGTCGCTCGGCGAAGATGCCGGGGACGGCGGCCTCTTCTTGCCGCGGCCGGGAATAGTGGCCTCCTTCAGTTTATCTCCGCCTGCTTCAGTCTCCATCGCGCGCTAGCCGCTAGCGTTGGCAAGCGACGTTGTCGGATGCCGCTGCCAGAGACGACGGATGGACTGGGGTTAGGGTTGGGATTAGGACTCAGGGCACGGCGGGTCTGCGGGTGACGGTGCCGGTGCCGGCGGAGATACGGCAGTGGAATCGACCGACCGCGGCGGAGCTGCGAGGCGACGGTGGATGCGGGGCTGCGCGCGGGACTCCCCGGCGGCGTGAATCCGACTATCCGAGAAGAGGAGCGGGGTGGAGCAGTGGTCCAGTGGAGGGGAAGAGTGGCGCCTGCCGCGGGCCTACCTCTCCGCGGTTTGTGTTGCTGACAGGTGGGTCAGCAGAAATTACCGCGGCACGGATTGGGCCTTCTTGGACCGTGTCACGTCACACACTGGGCCTTGGGCAGTGGAAGATGTATCGAACCAGAGAACCAGAACAAATGTTCTTCAAGCGCCGGAGCCCGGTTTCGGCTCGTAGTGGCCCAAAACTTCCTTTTCTTGGTTTGGTTTGAACCCCAAATCTAATGTCGTCTTGATGCTAGAAATTTATTAGTGGAACCCATTACACGTATTATTGGCATATTTTTGCTGTCAATAGGGTGATAGGGAGCAGGCGAGCGGATGGGCTCGAGGTATTCCCCTAACGATACGTCTATGACGCGATGTTGATTTTTGTAGAAGGAAAAATTTATGATTTGAGATAGTTGATTGAAACAACAAATATACTCCGTTCATATAGATAGTAAAGGCATATGATTTGAGGCGGGCCAATCTCTAGTTAAGATTTTACTTTATTATAGTTTCATTCACCAAGGATTAGGAAATGAATAAATCTTTCATAGTTGCAGCAACTGGTTCGTCCCATATTTGGTATGAAAACCGACTTTCCATTTGACCGGCGTCAAATTGCTATTAAATCGTTAGGACATTTGGATGAAGCCCACGACTTTAATGATATTTAGGTGAAACTTACTTATCATAAGGGCAAAATTTCATTTGAGTTCGTGCAACAGAAATGGAGAGGCGCTTGCGTATTGACTCGTGGTTGTGGACGCCTTGGATGACGTGGCTTCACAAAATAGTCGTCCGATTAATCGCGACTAGTCGTCCGATCAGTTCATCGACGACTAGAAGACTTGATAATAATATTGCAAAATCAAGAGGATCTATGGCCCTGTTTGGATACTCTAGCTCGGCTAGAGGTTAGAGCTAGTTTCTAGCTTTAGATTAGCACTGAACTAACTCTAGCCCAAGAAGTGTTTGGATGTAAGGGTTAGATTAACAATAAATGTACTTTTCTAATCATTTGACTCATTTAAATCATCTTTGCAGCCGGATTTGGTGTGGCAGGCTCTTGTGTGGCCTCCTCCCGCACACTGACCTGCGGGTGCTGGAGACCCACTTGGAGGCGCGAAATCCGCCGTCCACACGTTCTACCAAACACAAGCAAATTGCAGCCGCGCAGCGCTATCAGAAAACGCCCCCTGCAGCGTCTCAGGCATGGCAGGGGGCCCCGCGAACCGCTGGAAAGCAACTGCAGCCTTCACGGCTCCTGTCTGTCACTCTAGTCTGTAGCGGCATGAACCACGCATGCTTACATTGTTCTAGCAGCCCGAGGAGCAGCCCGTGCGTGCCGGCAACGCGAGGTGAAAACTGTGAATCCAGCGGATTTCTGGTCGCTCGGCTAGGACGGCCGGTCACCGCGAAAAAGCGTCGCGAAGGCGTCCGTTGGTGTGCTCGGCGTGGGAAGCAATGGGGGGAGGGGAGTCGCGAGAATCCGGTGCGGGTGGAGTAATAAAAAAATAAGAGTTTTCAGTGGGCTTCATCGGAACTAGTCCAAATAATCACCTCTTTTGGGGATAGTTTTTTGGGTGAGCTAGTTGCAAATAACCCACTCTAGCCCTCCTGTTTAGATACTTTTGGGCTAGTTGAGCTCAAACTAGCTCTAGCCCCTGGATCCAAACAGGGCCTATGTAGTATGTAAACATGTTAATCTGTAAGATGAATCTAGGCATGACACTTCAAAATTATGGTCAGAGGTAAGTTCTCTTCTTTTGTTTTCCTTTGCTGGGGGTTAGAGGTATTACTTGGACCTCGATCAATATACACGGACTTTGTATCTTGGAGAGGCGATCGTCGATCGTTTCAAGTACTGCTTTGACCCTTTGACTTGTCCAGCATACCAAGTACTCCCCGACCGTACTACTTCTCGGCATCGTCTCAAGTTTGCTGTCACATTGCCACAATGGTAACCGATCCAGAACACAGAGCAACACAAATAAGAGCTTCAGGTCTTCAGGAATAACTTAGCTAATACATGCATGGTAAGTGTGTGCACTGCAAGTCTGAAACAATCATTCAGACTACTATTGGATTCTAATTTTGACAAATGTTTACAAGACTCAAGAGATCTACATCATCAGCACTTTCCTTGATACTACACAGTGTATTAGCGTGCAGTGTGCAGTGTGCACTGACAGATCGAGACAACTGCTTGCACACCATTTTTCCCTTCCAAAACACAATTCCAAGATTCCTCCAACCCTGTGTCAAAATGCAGCCAAACCAACTCACTCTCTCCGATCCAGTTAGACTAGCCACAATGTACCGAGCCTTCAAATGTCAAATCATAGCCGATGCTTCAACTTTCATTTATGCCACAGTGTACCGGTGCCTCAAATAACTAAACAAACAATAGTTTATTCTCTCCCTTCATAACTCTTGTCAGATATTTATATCACTTACATGTGGGACCATATATTCCTTTTCAAAGCAAGCACCGGTGAACCTACTTTCCTCGATGCCAAAGTTTTCGCTGCTTGAATTTACTCCTGCAGTGTGCAAGCACCGATGCTTGGATGAAAAATGGGTTTCAGGCATCGGTATTTCACCACACTGTGGGTAGTCTTAGACTTCAGATCAGACGTGTCACCTGTAAATACGTACGTCAGTCTCAGGCATGTTCCAGTCCAACTGTCCAAGCAAGATTCTTCAGCCCTGTGCATGAGCAGCGATCCTGACGTTGAGCCTCCGGAGCCAGACGGAGTGGAGGATCATGTGGAACGCGTCGTACCGGCGCGGCGGTCCGCCGTGCACCATGAAGTGCCGGCGCACCATCCTCACCCGGCGCTGCATCCGGATGTACTGCCGCGGCGACACGGCCGACAGGATCTCCTTGAGCCGGGGGACGTCTGCGACGCGCACCCTCACCGCGAACGCGTCCCAGTTGAGCACGTCCGCGAACGGCAGCGCGTACTCGCCGTCGTCCACCACGACGGGGACGCACTCCAGGTACAGCGCCTCCGCCAGCCGCGGCGACGCCACCTCGTACCCGCCGGGGCACAGGCAGAAGCGGCTGCGCCGCATCATGTCCGTGTACGACGCGCCGCCGTGGAGCAGGTACTCGCTCACCCGCACGCCGTTGGGGTCGTCGTCGTCCCTCCCGCTCCCGTGGTTGCCGCCCGCGAAGAAGGCCAGGATCGGGCGCCGCGACGCCGACGTCCCGCCCACCTACCGCTCCACGGCGTCGCTCCGCAGGTTGATCTCCGGCAGCGACACGTCCTTGGCAGGGTTGAACCCCTCCGACGTGTTGGCGTTGCACAGCACCCGGATGGCGTTGCCGAACAGCTGCGCGTTAGCCGACGACACGTACGGCCCCTGACGACGACAGTGCAAACGGTTGCAAAATTCAGCAATTTTTTCTTCAAATGGCAATACGACACAGGTGCAGCTGCTAGCTAGATGCATGCTTTTTACCCAGTCATGACAGGAGAGCATGAAGTGGTCGGCGCCGGTGCTGCGGTTCCAGAAGGGGTACTTGTCGGAGAGCACGCGGACGTAATCGGCGACGGTGCGCTTGAGCGGGGCCATGTCGTGGGAGCCGGGCTCGTAGATGGTCTTCACCATCTTGACGACGCTGAAGGGGAGGAAGAAGACGTGGGCGCGGGCGGGGTCCCTGGTCCGCAGCCGGCTCTCCATCTCCATGGAGTGGATGAACCTGCCCTCCGTCGAGTAGATGCTGCGGCACGGCCCGTCGTGGAACACCGGCGGCTCGCCTTCCTCGTACACGTACACCTTCATCTGCTTCTCCATTTCCAGGTTGCTCCTGTACGTGTCAAGCAGTACAGCAGAGGAGGTTCTGACATTCAGAATAATCAGTGTCACTGAAAATATTGATGTTCAGGCATTCAGAATAGTTATGTTTAGACATTTTCAGGTGGCTCCACGAGTATCATATTTGTTGATGTTTCGACAGGAATTACCTACCTGTGAAATGCATAGGCATTCCTGTACACTGGCCCCATTGGCACGTAATCCTTGTCAGCCAACGGAGATCTCTTGTCCTTGTTTCGGATCGCTTCCATTCCGAGCCTTCGCAAGACCAAGTTCTAATCGCTCCAGGTTCACGTCTCTGCTCCTCCTCTGAACTTGCGGCGTGGCTCGGATCACCTCATTTGAGTTCCCCTGTAACACAAAGAAAAATCTAATAAGCAACTCATCCTGCAGGGACGTACGCTCAATTCAAAGCTGTTCACTACTTCAGTGTTTGATCAGCCGTGACAGTGATCACAGACTGCTTCTTACAGGCGTCTCTCAACAATGCAATTTCAGGAGCCCTATATGCAGTACTCGTACCTGTCACAAATTCTAACAGAAACATAAAAAACTAGCTTCGTTTCTTTAGGATCATCTTATTAGTTCATCAACAATTTCAATTGCACTAGTAATAAAATTGTAGTACAGTTCAAATTAGCCCCCTGTCACCCTATGTGCAATGCAAGCAGGACTCTTCTCCTGGGTCCCCAATTGATCTTGAGACTGCAGGAAGAGACGAGATCCCCACGCTATCTGCTCTCAGGTCAATTTGATGAAAGGGACGCCCCTGTCCTGGCTTGCTCCTTAAACTTCTCACTGGCAAGCCAGCCTGGCTTATCAGTCAGCGAATATTACTTTTAGACTGGCTTTTTAGCGAAGCGAACGGGCCAATTGCCTTCTCCGAAACTTGTAGGACACGGAGCACAACTACGCGTCACGGGTGAGACACTTGTTCTGTTTTTATCTGCTAAAGTATGTTCATGAATTTGATGCGCAAATGTATTAATTAATTTTCACATTGCTGGCGCATGATTGGGGCCGTTCGAGCTCGCAACACCAATAGCTGTATCATGATATCATCATTGAATTGGTGAACTGAACTGAGCAGTACGAGAAAAGTTCACAGGAAGTGAGATGATACATGCTCTGCTCAAAAGGTGGCATGATGAGAGTACTCCTCTGCTGTAAATTACCAGTGAATTTGGCATGCATGGAAAGTCAGCAATAACAAAAATTCGTTACATCTTCAGTTGTGATAATATCGTCCAGAAAGTGTGACATGCAAGTTCAGTTAAGATATTCCTCCAGTAGCTAGTTGCACAATTAATCAGCTAAGTGTTAGATTGATCTCCTAACCAATAAGCCCAACGGCTTATTGGGCCTTGGTCTCGCGCCCTGATCGGGGGCGCCCAACCCTACATGGTTGGTGGGCCCCCGTCGCACTGCGCTATATAAAGAGGTGGGGGCCGGCGGCTCAAAGCACGAGGTTCGCCGTGAGCCGCAAACCTCACCGACAAACCCTAGACCGATCTAAGAGGGCGCGCAGCCAGCGACGGGAAGCTCCGCTGATCCTCGCCGTCGTCACTGCTACGCCCGACCGCACTGCATCGACGTCCGTGCAACCTCTACTTCACCCGTCGCTGCCCGTGTGCTGCCTCCATCACCGAAGCTGAGATGGCTAGCTCCACGACTCCCTCCGAGGGCTCAGGTTAAACTCCACCACCTCTCTCCTCATCTCTCCGTTCTTTCTTCTATGTTCATCCCGTATTCAAAGGAACGAACCCTAGATCTACTGCTAGAGATCCTAAGTGAACTTATCAATGGTACCAGAGCCTACTAGCACGTAGATCTAGATAGGGGTAGAGAAAGAATGAGATCACGATCTCAGATCGGATCTGAAAGAACCCTAACCCTAATCGACCGCTCGGTGACTGACTGAGAAAAAGAAAGAACCGATTTCAAATCGGGGAAAAGTAAACAGTTGCCATCCCAACCCTAACCCTAACCCTAATCGTCAAATCGGGCTAAAATCCGAACAAATGAATCAAAGAAAGGGGAAGAGGGTGGCTCGGTCACACCTCGCCGAGCACGCACGCCAGCGGGAAAAAAAGGAAAGGAAAGGAACCGATTTCAAATCGAAAAACCAAACCCTAACCCTAAAAAGGAAGCCTACTTGGGCTTTTACCCACCGCCGCGACGCCACCACCGGATAGGATAGGAGATCAGCGGCGTCGCTCCCGAACGGCGCGCGGGACAGAGCCGAGATCCGCACTGCACCTCGCCAAGCGGTCACGGCAACAGGGCACCACCATGCGGCCCCTCGGCGGCAAGCGTGCTCGACCTCGGGCGAGCACGCGCCGCGCCGGCGAGAGGGCGCTGATTTGGCGCCACTCTTCTTCTCCCTCGGCCACTGAGGACGGCTGCTGCTGCGGGTCTCTCCGAGCTACGCTGCGGGGTGAGAGAGAAGGAGAGGGAGAGAATGAACCTAGGGTTCAGGGAGCGACGGCGTTCGCTGGTTTTGATCCAGCGACATTGAAGGCCAACCGTCCGACCGAGCGCGAGCGGGTCGAGATCAATTGGGCAAAGACCGCAGCCTCAGCCGGAAAAAGCGCCATGTCGAATTCCAGCCCAGCCCAAAGTTGCGGCTGGGCGCTGGGAGCGCTGAGCTGCCAGCAAGGGCAAAAGCAATGGGCCGGTAGTGTCTTTGGTACACAGACGAGAACAGGCCATGGGCGAATTTTTGAGTGGGCAGCAAGTCAAGGTTTGGTAAAATGGCCAAATAAATAGTAAAGTCACAGTTTTTGTTTTTCTTATTTTCCATAAAACAGTTTGATCAATTTGAATTGATTTTTTATGATAATTTACTGTACAAAATTTATCTAACGATATTTTTTGTTCAGTAAATAGTAAATTTGCTTCTGGAAAATAGGAAAAAGATTATTAAATGTTAAAGTTTCCGCTGCGTATTTAAAGATGTAATTTTCGTTATTAAATTCGAACCAACGGGAGAATTTAATTTTGAAAATGGATATGTTTTAAATTGATTATAATATTGTTGTTATTCTGACCAACGTTGATTAATGGCAATATTATAATGTTTTTGTTATACATTAATTCTATTTCTGCCCAACGGTGATGTAGAATTAGTGTAGAAAATAATTGTATGTTTTAATTTTGACCAACGTTAAACTAAGGCATGCAATTATTGTTGTTATTTCTGTTCTCGCCCTATTTGAATTATGTTTTCAGGAGGATACAACTTGATGAGTTGTATCAAAGAGATCCCCACTCTAAAAGGTGATAACTATATTGAGTGGAAGAAAAGATAGACTCGGCCTTTATCCTCGGCCGAGGTGGATCAGTTGTCACCACACCGCGTGCCTCAAAGAACCTGTGGCACCGGTGAGGGAGACAGATGAGACCGATCTCGCATGGCGTAATGTAGAGCGGGATTTTGCTCCTCAGAAGATGTCCTATGACCTTGAGCATAGGAAATGGGTCACCGCCAACAAGAAGTGTTTGGCGTTGATAAAGAACACGATTGAGCCTGCCATTGTGGGCTCAATTCCAGATCAGTGACACGTCACAGAGTACCTAGATAGAATAAAGAGTCAGATTTCATCGCTCTTCAAAGATGTGCAACCCAAATTTGATCAAGCATTTGGTTACTGTAAAGGTACTCGGTGGCGGCAATGGCATTAGAGAGCACATACTGAGAATGAGCAATCTGACATCTAAGCTCAAACCAATGGATTTGGCACTCAAAGATGAGTTCCTTATTCATTTGATTTTTGCTTCTTTGCCCAAAAAATTTGACACATTTGTTGTTAATTACAACATACAGCCTGAAAATAGGATTTAGAAAAGCTCATTGCCATGTGTGTGCAGGAGGAGGAAAGAATAAAAGTTTCACAAGGTGGTTCTGTCAACTACCTAAAAGATAAGAAAAAGAACTATAATAACAGTTCTTCCTCCAAATCATCCGAAAAGGTCCCATGCAATGGGTCTCGAACCAAAGCATTCCCGGTGGCTAAAGACCAAAGGTGTCTCCTTTGCAAGAAGACGGGACATTATAAAAAGAATTGTCCTGATTTCTTAAAGATGATAATGAAGAATAAAGGTAAGAACATTATTACGTTCGTAAATGAATCCTTGTATGTAAAGTTTTCAAAATCTACTTGGTGGATTGATTCAGTGCAACTATTCATGTTGCTAATTCATTCTGGATTCCGTTTCGATGAGAACTTTGCAAAGAAGCGAAAGTTTCATTAAAGTCGCAAATGGAGAACAAGCGGATGTTGAGGCCGTTGGTGATCTTCCGTTAGAGCTTGCTGATGGCTTCATAATTATTCTTAGAGATGTTCTTTATGTACCTTCTTTGCAAAGAAATTTGATTAGTGTATCAAAGTTGGACCATGATGGTTATGATTGCCATTTTGGAAATGGCAAATGTCGATATTGTTTAATAATAATGTATTGGTCTTGCCTTTCCGACAAGACGAGCTTTATTTGTTATCACTTCGTGAAAATGTTAATTCCGTATGTGATGTGAATGAAAATGTATCCTCATCGAACAATGGAAATGAAAATGAAAGAGAGCTCAAGATGCGTGTCGAAATTATGGCAATCGTCGTTTAGGCCATATTTCGAGGGGGAGAATAGAAAGACTAGTTAAGAATGATATTCTTCCTCCATTAGAGCTCTCGTGAGTTAGAACAATGTAGAGATTGCATAAAAGAAAAGTATGTAAAGAAAATTAAGAAAGATGCCAAACGAAGCGCAGGAATTCTCTGATTATTCACACAGACATATGTGGTCCTTTTCTCCTGAAAAGTGTGGATGGTTATGATTCATTCATAACATTCACAGATTTATTACTCTCGGTTTGGCTACATTTATCCAATTAAAGAAAGAACGAAGCGTTGGATAAATTTAAAATATTTAAAGCGTAAGTTGAAAATCAGCATGATTTAAAGATTAAGATAGTCGTCCGTGCGTGGAGGAGAGTACTACGGTCGGCATACCCCATATGGACAAGTTCTGGACCTTTGCAAGGTTCTTACAGAGAATGGCATATAGCCCCAAAGATTCAACACCAAGCGAACCTCAACAGAATGGAGTAGTGAAAGGCGTAACTGCACCTCGATGGATATGGTGCGTAGTATGATAAGTTACTCCACTTTACCCACAAGTTCAGTGGATGGAGGCGTTAAAAACCGCCATTCATATTCTCAATAGAGTACCAAGTAAGTCGATTGCCCAAAACACC